GCAAAGTTTCTCTCTTGTGCTGCTCACAGGATTGTTGCAAGCAAAGATGTATTGCTCTCTCTCTCTCTCTCTCTCTCTCTCTCTCTCTCTCTCTCTCTCTCTCTCAAGCACACACACACACACAAACAGAGGGACAACTCCTGGATGTGCAAACTCTACTATTAATGAACACCCAACCAGCATTGTTCCAAGCAAAGATGCACTGTGGGAGAAAAAGGACATGGTTATTTGTTGTGCATTGGTCTGGAGTTGCTTATAGACCAAGTGTTAGATATTAGTGTTAGATTTTAGATAGAAATGGTAGAAAATTGCAATGCCTGAGCACCGTGCCAGCCCATGCCCAAGAACATCAACGGCAACGCACCATCCATGCCTACACAGGGTCAAATAACATCGGCAGAAGGATCAAATGGCCAGCCATGGATGGAGCACAGCATGATTGCCACACCCAATCCACCCACAGATAAAACGTGTCATAGTAAACGGTCATGTGTTTGCGCACTATTCACATCATCCATGCTTAGTAGTACTTTAACAAAACATAGTGACCAACAACATAGTGACCACTCACAACTTGGAAACCTGCTCCAGTACAAAATGTCAGTGATATACACATTATCGATAGATTTTCCCTCACGCAGAGAACGGGAGGGAAAAAAAAGAAAAACGGAGACCGACCAGAAACAAAAGATGATGGCCCGGAAACCATACAAGCACGAAGAAGAACCACAACGAACTCCTGGCAGAGAGACGAAGAAGGTTGTCAAACGCAGCCATCCCATGCAGCTAAATGGTACACAGTACTACACGCATACAATGCAAGTCGTAGACAGACCACGAGTTCGAAATCTGGGTGCAAGAATGTTATGGGACACACACCCCGTTCAAAAAACAGAAAGAACGTTGTCATGATGCAAAAGACTCGAAACAAAAAGCTGAGAAAGGCAAGAAACTGAAGAACAGCGAGCAGACTGTTTGCTACGCTGCCAGACCTCGCTGCTCATTTCAGGAGGAGAGACGAGGACCGTACGTACTCTGTTTGTTGAGCTGCTTGCTCATTATTCTCTTCAAGCGCTCCTGAGGAGTCTCGGCCTTCTTTTCCAGTGTTGGCTGTGGAAGTCCTTGCTGCTGGGCTGGCTTGGCTAGAGCAGCAGGAGGACCTTTGGACAGTTTGGCCAAAGCAGCAGCTGACAGACCATCTCTGCTACACGGATTCACAACAGACAAAAAATGCTTGAAATTTCCTCTCTCCCACACACACACACACACACACACACACACACACAAGCATGTTTTATCCACAACAGATAAAACATGGGGCTGTATATAGGGAACTGGAGCTGGAGCGTTTCATGGGAGTCGTTACACAAAGGGCAAAAAGAAAGGAAAAGAAGAAAAGGTGGAAGTCCTGCTCCAGAACAAAATGTCAGCTCTGAGCTCGGCCTGAGAAGTCAAAATTCGGCCTTATCTTCCGACTTCATGACGGACACAAGGGAGAGGGGGGATGGAGCTAGAGAGTGGTTCAGAGGAGTGCATCTTTGCTGTATTGCAAATTCACACATCACTCTCTTTTCTTGATTCTCGCTCCTCTCCCCCCCCCCCCTCCCCTCCTCCATCTGGTCAATCACTGACGGGGATGACAAAGATTGAGGGGAATGATGACAAAGAAAAGCAGCAATGAGGACTTTGATTCTTTGGCTGAGAGAAGCCGCAGAATAACTTCAAACGCACACTGGTAGAATTCCGGAGCCTGGAAAATGTCCTTCATTCTTTTTCTCTTTCTGAAGTCTCCGTCAGTTTCTGACCAAGTTATTGTTGAAAAAGCGATAGATAGCAGACATAAATTCGAAGGCAGGCAAATACTTTGGAAGATAGATCAATACTTTGGCTGAGGAAAACTGCAAAAGCACATCAAATAACATAGGTGTAGTACCCGACTTGCAAGCGCACGCCGTGAGGGCAATTGCGCACACGCGGCGCAGGAGCATATACTGGACGCGCACGTTGCACGGGGGAAATATAGGGCCCAGAAAAAGAGAAAAGGGTCGTGGGCCTGGTCGGGCAGGCACCCACGCCCCCTTTAAGAATTTGCTGCAGCTTCTTTTTTCCCTCACGCAGAGCAGCGCGTAACATTCGACGCGGCTGCACACACTGTCCTTGCCTGGCCTATGCAATTCAAATTTCGTATCAATTTCGTATCAATCAGGCATATATCTCGCATGGCACACTGCTTGCAACAATGCAACATTGTTTTTGGAGACGCACAGTCGGTTGAACATTGATGCACTGGTGCTTGTGACTCGGGCTCGACCACCTCCGCATGCGATTTCAACCTCCCACCATCTGTGGTCGGGCGAGTCATGTCATTACCCAACAGTCCAGCGAGTTTCTTTCGGCGAAGGACAGCCAGTGCACAGGAATCGACATAAGGGCCAAAAAGGCCAAAAACAGGACACATGCTAGATAGGGCCTCGTTCCACTGCCCGCCAAATGAGAGAAAATCGGAACGATTCGGGTCTAGGATATCTTATTATCTTTCCACCAAACGCGTAGACGAAGACACACACCGTCTTCCACACTCCATAAAGGGCCCGTCAAATGTGAAAAGCAGTGTCTGCATGTTGATCTAGATGATGGAAGGATACCTTGCCCAACTTGTTCTCTCCGTCTTTGTCTCATCTGGCCCATTGTAGAAGGACGCCCTACATTGCGCAATTTTGATTTTTGACATTTCTTGATGTGCGCAGCTCATCCTTCCGCCCAACGACCTATTCCTTTTTTTCTTTTTTCCCAACGACCTATTCCTTTTTTTTTTTTTTTCCAACGACCTATTCCTCACTCCCAGCAAGACAAAAAACAAAAAATGGTCCTGGTCTGCTGTACCAGCAAGTGAGACTTCAATTGGTAGACTTAGAAGTTTGCGAGTCCCTCATAAATGAGGGATTTCCTGGAGACAAAGTACCCGGTTGTTTCAGGATGTGGTTTAATGGCTCTACACTGAGTCTACAGGCTTTAACCGAAAAAACTTTCTTTGAGAGGCGAAAATAACAGGGTATAAAAGATCACGAGTTAAAATCTGCACTGTACTCGTACTTTTTTTACTGTATCTGGGCACAAATGCAGTTAGATACGCGCAAGGAATCGATGAGATGTTGTCAATACTACCTACCTCCCAGTTGCAGGCAGTCGAGAGTCGGATAGACGTCTTTCTTTATCTTTTGGGACTGCTGGCACTGCAGCTGGAGTCACTCCAACAGCGGAAACCCCTGCCACCGCTGGATCACTTCGGAGCGCCTCGAGAATCTGTCCCGTCCAGGGTCTGCAACAGGTTGACCAGCATCAATGAATAAATCTCAAGAATGTCTACACTTCGCCCCCACTGCACCCCCCCCACAACCCTCAACACCCCTCAGGTAACAAGACACAAGACAAACACGAGAGATCGCCACCTCCCGTCAGGGGGTACCAGGCTTAGGAAACCGCTGCACAATTACAAAGATTGTCATCTCCCTTCAGAAGTAGAGGGGAGTTGTGTTGGGCTATGTAGCATAAGTAGATATAGCTATGTTTATAGCTGCTGCATCCTGTAGTTCATTACTATAGCTCTTTATAATAGCAGTCTAACATCGTTGTGCGAATAGAATGACAGCAAGCGAAAAAAGAAAGACAATATCAAATACCAACATTTTTGTAAACAAACCACATGCCGAATAGGCGTTGCAATCTCCACAAGCCTTGAAGGTAGACTCTTTCTGAAGCGAAAAGGAGCTGCTATGTCCACTTCCGTCTCCATCCGAATAGAACGCCCGGTTGTTATAGCAGAGCATTTGCCACAACTTTCAGTGCAGATGCAGCAATAAGTACTGGGCATTTTATTCGGGTGACGACGGCAGCTCCGTTCGACCAGATAGCCACTAGCTTCGTCTGTCCAGTTCGGCACTGCTTTCATCCCTCCCTTAAAAGTCAAAACTGGGTCTCGAGTGAGTCGCGTTCTTCCTCGACACACTACAAATCCTGGTTAGAGCAGGGGGTCAGCTCATCAGACGTTCACATGGCTCATTTTAGCATTCGGCTGGGAGCGGCCCAGTGGTCTGTCTGGCAAATGTAGGAGGCATCTTGCCACTTGTGCCGCAGGGTTTAGTGCTTTTTTTTTCTTCTTTCCAAGTGAGATTTTTTGCCCAAAAAAAGGCCGACACAAGGGACTACACTGCAGCCTGGCACGAACAATTTCCGCACCATGCCACGCCTTCTAAACAGTAGCAAGAACAAGATGAAGGGTATCCTCATTAAGAATGACCATTTCTCAAATGGCTCAAGGACCGAGCCCCCTCTTCTGACACACTTTTGGGCACCCAACGCCGACAGCAACACTGTCTAAGGGCGTACTCATGCTCTAGCTTTGTGGCTTAAGCACCGAGCCCCCTCTTCTGAGACACTTTTGCGCATCCGACGCCCATCGGAAAACTTTCGAAACTATGTTTCTTTTTGTCAGTCGACAGCAACACTGTCTAAGGGCATACTCATGCTCTGGCTTTCCTGACTTATCTGACGGCAATCACGACCAGATTAAAATCGAAGGAATCTAAAGATGCAATCAAGGGTGTCACCGTGCCGCTCAAATTTTCTAACGGCAGTGATGGCACATTCAAATGAGAGGTTCCGGGGACACATCGAATGACAATTATGGCGAGGATTCAATGGAAAGATTCTCAGGGGATATGCAAGCGAACTACCGTCTTCACCCAAGTAGAATGCCCAGTCATTATCGCTGCATCTGGACTGAAAAGTGCCCCAAATACAGCTGTAATGACCGGGCATTACATTCGGGTCGAAGACGGTGGGACTTGCTGATGGCTCTTACAACCAATGCGCCCCCCTCTCAGTCAGAAACGTTATATGATTATATCCCTTCGTTATCAGTATGTCCCAAGGTGTGATACTAGCTGCCGTTGATGCATCTGACCGCACATCCATCCAGATACGCTCGGGAAAATTCTAGTCTCCATTCCCGTATTGTCAGTTAGGAACTTTCTGGTACGCTAGAAGTAATCTCTCTCTCTCTCTCTCTCTCTCTCTCTCTCTCTCTCTCTCTCTCTCTCCCTTTTTCTTCTCTTTTTTTTTGTTGCCTTTCTGCA